ACCGCGAAGAAGACAGCCGCATATTGTTCACAGTTACCTGCCATGATGGCAACACGATCGCCAACCCCAATTCCCATGTCCAATAAGGATTGCGCCAGAGATGAGCTTTGTTGGCTTAGCTCATTGTATGTCCAGCGGGCGCCTGTCCAGGGAATCACCAGACATTCTTGGTTGCCATGTTGGTATGTCTGAAGCTCAAGAAGCTCGCCCAACGTCAAATCAACCAGTGGAGGATCGACAGGGCCCTCAAGGATAGAGAGCTTCTGTTGTTGCCGCGATGGAGCGGAAGGTATATTCGTCGTTTCGGTCGCCATGATGAGTGTGGATGAAGTTTGGAACTGACAAAATCACTTGGGAACTTCGGAGAAACACGACGAGATCTGTAAAGAAAGCAGTCCCCGAGAGAGAGAAAAACAGCAGTGGGTGCCGATCAAGGGTTCTACCTTGCAAAAATATGCATTCTCAAGCTCAAACAGACGCTATCAACCTGTACGTCCGTATTAACCCGTCATGATGTCCTGCCCCACCATCAGTGCCGTGCTCCGTTCAGGCCCATGCTCCTGGATGGGGGTGACGCCAATTACGGAATCAAGTGCGTTTCTAAGGAGCCAAGTAAAGCGGAATTGGACCAGGGCCGAACCGGTGCGGCAATTTTTATGAGTGTTTGGTGGTGTCCAGATGGACGCCGTCTCACACTAGACATTACCAGTTGCATCATCGCTCGCCGTTATCTATTGGCGAAGTCGTCTGAAATTTGGTGGATTCATCATCCAGGATTCTTACTCGAGCTTCTACGCTCGTGTCAAAGTGGTCAACTGCAACCGTGTGTCTTCCCTCATCCATGTCTCCAAGGGCATGGTCTTGGGTGACAAAGAACCGGGACCCTGGGGATGGTTCCGTCCTGGCGGAGCTTTTGTTCAGTTTCTTCGCCATCCACGCACCTTTTGTGGCCACTTGCATTACTTCATCGCTTCAGTAATACTGTGCCGTTTCATCGCCCTAACCCTGCGCTTGCTCCATCAAGCCCAGGCGAGCGCGAGACCAAGTTTTTTTCTAGCGGCTTTTTTTGCGCCAAGTATCTAATCTGATGATCAGATAAGATGGGTTGCCCCTCATCAGTTGTGCAGGGTTAAAGCCAGAGCTTTCTACGTCCACACCCCAACCCGAGATCGGCTAAGAGGGGGGAAAATTTTTATCTGATCAATCTGGACACTCGCCAAGTTCCATCCACTTTCCGGACATCCATCCCAGAGCGAGTACTGGACCAAGTAAGCGGGACGTAAGAGGCTGACAAGGGTCGCTGTGATACGGAGTATAGTCCCCGGACTTGACAAAGAAGCATAAGTCGTCAGAGAGTTGAATCCGGTTCTGCCCGGTCCCATAAGGCTATATGTATAAGTCAACATGACTTTCCAACTGTCTGACGGTGGAACTATTACGCTTAATAATGCACCATGGACATGGGACTTGTCTCAACTCAATCGCCAATTGGCGCATAGTCGTTGATAGTCATACCAAACGAGTGCAAAGGCCTCCTTATTTAAAAGAAACGAACCTTCTGTGCTGAGGCTGCGTATTCTGTCACTTGAACTATTGACTTTCCTGGAGTCCTGCCCTGTGGCAGCCTACACTACTCTACTCTACCCGTTCCGATGAATAAAAGAGAGTGTCTTGGTCGCGCATCATGTCGCTCATGACAACTACTCTGTAGAATTCATCAAAAAGGTGAGCTGCGGTTTTTGTAGCTAGGGATTACTAGGAAAGAATGTAGCTCACTCGAGAGTAGCATTACCCGTGTTGATGTATATCCCGTTTTGCAATTCTCGCAAGGGGTCCTAACCCTACATCATGAGGTGGTGATTAAAGGTAGGGAACGCTCAAATCCAGTGCTGAAACTAGTAAGAAGTTTCAGTATATTGAACCACGTTCTAAAAACTGAGGTTCGTCGGCTGATACTTTGGTCTTTTACGTCCAATATCATCTGTCATGATACGGACATGTCATGAGGAGGTGAGAATTTTACCCAATCCAAGCACAATTTGCCGTTGTTTGTGAATACATCTTGGCGGCACTAGCTCTTACTTCTTTATTTGCTTAATCCTTAGCTGAGGACTTACTATAGCGTTTGATGATACTTTTTCCAAGTGCCATCACGTACCTTGGGAGGAGAGAAAATATACGTTTGGACCACTACGATTCGAGAAGATATCATCAATTTTGAGCTTCTAGTACAATAGTGAGCTTCAGTTCCTTGTTTTTGAACCAATCTTTAGTTCCAACCAGGCGCTTCTGATGTGAGCACCCTCTAATGTGCTGTCATGACGAGTGAACGCTGTGGAACTGTGGCCATTGAGACAAGGATGTTATGATGGGGGCGACAGTCTGGAAGCAATAGCCACTCCGAGTCAAAAATGGAATATTAGTCATATATCGACTTGCGATTGAATCGCGGTTTCACAAAAGAGCACTTATTTATCTAGATCACAAGACCTGTGGTCTACAGATCTATCATGATATCCATCCCGCACTCAAGATCACCTCTTGAACTACAGTGATACTCAGCTTCGATCTTGACAGCCCTTAATTTACGTGTGTCCGAGTTTCGGTATTTAAGCTATGGAATACTTTGGCTGTTACAACCTGTTCGTGGGGATGCAATTGTGAGGCAGGCCAGCAGCGTTGTTCACTTTACGAACAGGCGAGCATATGATGAAACAAGCTCTGGCCTGCAATCCTTCATTAATCCTGCAAGCTCTTACGATTAGTGCTCTTCACAGCGCGGCGGCTATAATGACAAGCCGTTGCTCCTGAGATATTGAAAAGCTACATGAATCACTGTCCAAGAATAGATAGACCTGGAGTCGATGATGAATATCGGCTTCTTGCAGAGGCCTCTTCCTCAAATGTTCCGAGCAGCATAATTGAAGTCAAACCTATAGTGTAGATCCGAACAATAGAATATTGTACTGGACGGTCCAACAAGGCAATGCACAAGATATACTTGACCAGCGAGCCACGAGGGGGACCATTCCATCCATGTTGAGGTGAGGATACCATGGGAATGAACGTGCAGAACGAGAGCCAGCGCTCATTGTGTGCCTTATAGATCCCCTTGGCCTTTTCTCTCGCAGGCTTCATTCAAAAAGTGGATGCTGCTTTGTTTATTTCAGCCCAAGAAATCATACACATACACGTACACGTACACGTACACGTACACGTACGTCGTCGCCAGGTATTGGAGAACCCGGCGTAAGCAAATCGCCAAGATACACCCTCCAAAGTCCACGAATACCACGGCTTAACAAGCTTGTATCATCTGCCTACTCTAGATGTATTAGTAGCCAAAGTTCTGCCAAGTAAGTGACTCCCTCGTCTTGATCCATGTCCATTATGACAGTCCACCATCACCGTCCTGCTCTGATTTATGCAGCCTAAATAAATAAGACACTTGAAGACTTATAAGCCATTGAACTAAAACTCCCCCAAGCTCATGGTTCTTCGATAGGTACTTATTATCAGAACTTCTTAGTCGGGGGCTATATGAAGATTGACTGTTAGGATTAGTCTATGATGGAGCCGTCAAAGGTCTAGGTTAACCAGTTTGCACATGGTGCAAAAACAGAGATAAACCACAATCCGACCATCCCGTTCCGTTCCGTATCAGCCTGTCCAAGACAATTGGAGGCACCAGGTTCAATGATACAAAGATCAAGAAGAGGGAAAATGGCTAACTTGAGTTTGGACGGTGAGAAGGAGGCAACCAAGGGTTAAACATTCGAACTTCTTTTTCCGTAGTGTTGAAATATGAGACTGAAAGTTATTGGAGCGCTTTGATATTCTAGATATATCCTACCTACCTACGCCAAATCCTTGTCAGACCCTTTTGGATAGTCTCTGGACCATACGTTATGCATTCTAATACATTTGCAGTCCGTCAAACTTGGCAATTTTGATGTTAACCTTGACGTTATTTTCAAAACTTTAGGTCAGGGGCTTAGTAGTCTTTGATCTGGAGTCAAAATGTATCTTCACCTGGAGTGTATGGACTTGAGTTTGAAATACATAAGATTTTAAAAAGAAGCAAGGAAGTGCTGAAATAAAGCCGGAACCTGAAAGATGTAGACATTCCGTTGAAAAGCTCTTCACCTTCAAGTATCTTTTTGAAGGGCTGGGGACATATCAGTCCCGAGGTAGCCAAAGAGAATGGTAGAAGTGGCCATGGAAAGAAATCCGGTTGCCAATCAGACCCCAACTACGGCGAGATGCCTTCTGTATAACCCTCCAGTGACAGAAATTTAGGAGCGGAGTGTTCGGATATCCTTTGACATGTGTGCTCCCATGAAGATATTCACTCTTCTTCTGGCCTCTCGCTACATGTGATTTGCAATACTAGACTCACAGGAACAATCTCACTACCAAAGACTTGTCAACACTTCAAGCCAACGTGATGTCTGATCGACAGGGTACGCAACTCACATGACAGACAGGTACGGAACGAGCCGTCATCTTAGAGTGACAGTCTAAGTTAGTCTACAGAGGTAGAGAGGTGCTGTTAAAACCCTGTCAAGACAATCAAAACTCAATTCAGCTGACGGCATGTGATACTCTTCCACCCAACGAACGAGTCTATTACATCACGACAGCACCAAGACAACGATACTGTCAGTAAGCTCAGTGAGCAAAGGCAAAGAATACAGTTATAGCAAAGTTAATTAGCATGGCCGCAATGAGGTATCAAAATGCAGGCTTCCCCTCAGCTGCCCCAAGAGACTCAAATATGGAGACAAATCCATGCCCAAAAACTCCCTATACCAGCATGACCAGGTCATGGCGGCAAACCAAAAAAATAAAGATAACTAGACCAGAATACATAACACATTTCCTTCCCTACATGGTATACCAAGCCAGAAAGCGAGAGCCCATATATAAGCGCCATGCGTCAACCGCAATGATAGTCCTCCGGGTTTTTATCATAATCATGAATTCGTAACGAGATAGCCTCATTTAGGGGTCTCTGTCCCTTCTCCAATGCCGAGGGCTCTGACAAGGCTGCGGCGGATGCCCTTGCCGCTTGTCGAATCGTCCTTGTCGCGACCCAGCAGGCCAAAGCTCATACGGCGCACAGTACTGCCCGTGTTCTCCGAGGGGTTTGAAGGCTTCCTAGGCTTCTTCTTCTTGGCGACAGGAGCGGGAGCCATTGTCGGTCGTGGGGGCCACTCGCCATCCCGTTTCCAGCCAGTAACGCAAGCTCGAAGCATATCGGACAGATTAATCGGGCACGAGGGCTGAAGACTGTGAATGATGACTTTGTCGTAGAGACTGAGATATACAGAAGGGGTGATGGATGCACGCAGAGAGTTATTGGGAGGTAGGAGAGGTGGAGGAAGAGGAAGCAGGACCTCAACAGGATAATTTCGGCTGTCGGGAGGTGTCGACGGCGTGGTGTCTTTAGATCGAGCATTGCGAAGCTCGTCGCTTCTCGCAAGTGATGAATTGTCTGACCCGTCACTGACTTGCGGTGGTAAAGTAGACGCAATTGTCGAGGCAGGAGGAGATGTCGACATGGAGCGACGGAAGAAGAATCGGCGGGGAGATAGCGGTGACACAGCAGGGGGTGTTGCAGGCTTGGCCCGAACGCGGACAGTTCGTGCGCCCGTCCATGCATTTCGCCGCGCTTCAAAACAGGCGAGTCCTTCGTTCCATTCCATTTCCTTGCGAACTGCTCTCCTTCGCTTGGCGCGCTTTCCCTGGACCACAGCTTGGACAGCCGAACCCACATTGTTTGGGTTGTCAAAACGGAAAGGTGATCGCGAAGGTCCAGGCTCATCCTCATCATCAGAAAGGTCTGAGGCCCAGTCTAGACGTGTGCGAAAGTTGACTAAATCTTCAGAGACAGTACTGTACGTGGACTCGGCATCGCTGCCGTCTTCGTTATCTGATGACTCAGGTTCATCGACTTGGTAGCCATCATCCTCGCGCGTCTCATCCTGGATTGGCTTTGTCGATTCTGTGATATCGAGACTGGTGACAGCCTCAATTCCATCAGGTGTTTCAGATGCAGTGTCGACAACAGCGACGTCGCCCTCGAGTAGTGGGGCCTCGACAACGCGAGAAGGCCATGGGAACTCCCAATCGTTCTTGACTTTGGCGTCGAGATACCTCTTTACTGCTTCCTTTTGCTTCACCTTGTCCTTGCTGAGCAGGTCTGCGTGTTCCTCGCCGTACCAATCTGGGGTATTGGTTGGCAGCGGTGTCGGCAACTGGATCGAGTGGTGACGGAGTTTAGCGATGGGTGATCGCGGGCTCTTGTAAATATCCGAGAATATCATGTTTGACGATGTGCTTGCCCGGGCTTCGGTGGCCCTTGAGGCAAGTTGAGCAGTGTTTGTTGGCGATTGCTTCGGAGAGCCCAATGGCAATGCAGACGACTCAGTAATTGGAGTGGTGGTAGCGGGCGTAGTATCGGTGGCGGCAATTGTCGAGCGAGAATGCGGGGGAGCGGATGCAACCTGAAGTAGAGGGTGGATGTTGGTTGGGGAGGATGATGTGATATCTCGAGCTGGCGATTGTTGTCGGCTATGTTGGTGTTCTTGTCCTTGATTTGGGTCACTTGTCTTTGCGACTTGATTAAGTTATTAGACGATCCTTCTTGACAGGCGAAGCAAAGGCAAAATGCAAAGGTTGACAAGGCAAGGTTTTAAAAAAAGGCGAAAAAGGAACAGCAGCCAACAATTCTTGAAGGAAAGATGGGTGGATGTGTGTGTGTGGACGTGGACGTGGTACAGTACACTTCGGGGGTGCCCAAGGGCATGGTTTATATGGAAGCAGGTGGTGGTATCGTTTAAGCGGAGGTGGCGTTGGAAGGGAAGATCAGGTTAAGGTAAAGCGCTATTGACAGGGCTCGCATGGGTCATTTTTGTTTTGAGTAAGGTACTAGCGATGGTCCGAGTCGTTCTCGATGCGACTGACACGCACGCTGCGGCTCCTTGTCCGATTGAAGAGCATGTGTCTCCTTATATGACGACGTGTTGTCGCTTAGGGAGAGGCACGTAACTTGTGTAACGCGGGGAACGGGAGTTGAAGAGCCAAGGCACTGCAATTTATGATCGAAGCCAAGGCTGGGAAAAGAGCAAGGCAAGGCCCAATTGAAGAGCTGCAACCGGAGAGAGGGAGGCAAAAGACTTGCTTGGCTCACCAGGACATGATCGGCAGCGGATCCCCAGAAACTAGAGCCGCAGTGGTAGCGTGGAGTGGATTTGAGGTGTAATGCAATGCAATGCGAGGCGAGACAAGACAAGACAAGACAAGACAGGAAAGGAAAGGAATTGGCAGGAATTAACGTGAGACCGATGGAGTGAAGAAGAGACAAGAAAGAATTAGACTTGTGAGGTGCCTATTCCGTAGGTAGGTCAGTTAGGTTGTCTAAACAACTCTAACAACCCAGATTCCCAAATCAAATCAAGGACTCATCAAAAGCTTGGATGCTTTGGAGGTCCTAGTCCCTGCATCTCCAGGCTCTGGGCACTTCAATCTAGCGGTGATCGCTCGTGTGCGTTCAGCCGTGACCCTTGCATGGATGGACGAGCGAGATGAGACGAGTGAAAAGATGGGGTAAGGCTTGGGTAAGGTTTTGAGTTTATGTGCTGACCGAGAATAGGTAGCAGACGGTGTTGGCCGACAGGAGGACAGAACAGAACAGACCAGACCAGGAGAGAATAGGTACAAAGAAAGAAAGTGATCAACTTACCACTGCCTATATCGACATTCGATAATTCTGTAGGTGCTGCACTTGTAGACGACTGATGACGGTCGGAGCCGACGCAAGATGCTTGTTCACTACCAGCGCCAGAGTCAAGGCCAACCGTTTTAAGCGGAGAAGGCGACATGACTGAGGAGGAAGGCTGAAGAAGGACAAGTCTAAGTCGCTGCCTCTCTAGCCTCTGTCTCTCTCTCTGTCTCTGCAAGGTAGGTAGGTATTGAAGGGTTCTCGTTCTGCAGGGCAGGGGTCCCAGTCCAAAACTGGAACGATTGACAGAGTTTTTGGCTTTTGGGGGCCTCAAGGTTCTGCTATCCGTACCGGTTCTGGTTCTGGCTCTGGCTCTGGCTTTCGTTCTGGACCGGTTTACGGGTGGTCTGGTCTAGTCAAGTGCCCTCTACTGCTGCTCGTTGCAGCAGCCAAGAAATACCTCAAATATCAGGTTATGATATTTCCGAGGCACGGACGTAACGTGCACCCGGGATGTGGGAAAAGAATGATGGTGGTTGGCGATAATGGATGTTCGTGCGTGCAGTGACTGTGACTAAGTGAGGTTTGTGCGACAAATTTTGATGGCAAACCTGAGGTTCCACGCGTGGTCACCCTACCTAGTAGACCCTGGGCTCCCCGGCCCCCTCCCCCCTAAAATTCGGCGCCAGAGCCTGTGAGTGAGCCTGTGCGACAGCCCGATTCCCCACTGAACTGATTTGCTTGGGTTGCAATTGGAAGAGTCCTCCTTGGTTAGAGGTGGATCTCAATGATCCTTGTCCTCACACGGGAACGTACAGAAATTTATTAATACCTAAAATATACGGGAGGGTTCGGTTCGCGCTTGTTTCCGACGGGTAAACGATGCATCCATCCATCACCTTCGGCCATTTTCGTATTTTTTTTTTTTTTTTTTACATGTGAAGAAGAGACAGTGGATCAAATGTCGTGTGACTCTGAATAAACTCCCCCTTTCGCGATCGATGCCCGCATATTCGCTTACCTACAGCTGGAGCTGGACCTAAGGTAGGTACCTACCTAGTCCAGTGAATGGAGACTAAGGCAACTTTCAGGCTACAACTGGGGAATAGCGGGGGATGAAGGAATCACCAGCCACGGAGCAATCAGGCCTGAAGTTGGAAAAGCTGGAGTGGTCAATTGATCTTTCTCATTGGTTGACAAGAGTCAGCCGCCCAACTTGACACTCGATGCCCTGGACTGTTGATGCACGTGGACACATCATGACAGTCAGTCAGTCACCTGCCTACTGCCTGGGTACTAACCTTACCTATCAGATATCCACAGTCACACTACTACTAGGTAAACCTACCAGGTAGGTAGGTACCGAGAATATGTACAGGTATTCTCGCGGCAATCTGTATCTCCATTCATGTCTCGCTCACCGTTTTTCACTCAACTTTAACTTCATACACCGGTTACCTCCATGCTCCCCTAGTAAGTATATCAAGTACCTTACCTTAAGTTCAAGTGACGTACATAGACGCCGTTAAAATGATATGCGCAGGTAAATGCAATATCAGACCATTACCGTTTAATATATAAATAGTCGCTTACCGCGGTTGCTATCTGTCAACCAACCAACAACAACCATTCACTGCCTATGTCTGTTCCCGGCTTTGATAATATATCTTTATAAATACTTTCCATTGTATCAATCAGTCTATTCCTAAAGAGTTTAAAAGCCTTCACTAATATCAACACAAACACTATTGCTCGCTGGCCTGTGACATCCATCCATTGCAAATTGGAATAATGAAATACATACAAAAGCCTGTCATAGGCATCCATAGGCATACAGAGGAGTATGGTATGGATAATCAATGCAATAACTACCTTGAGAGTCAATAGATGTTCTGCTTCGCAAGATATTGGTGGTCGGAGAGTGCTCATCAAAACACCACAGGCACTTAGCACGCCACCAACCATTACCAAGCTATAAAGGGTTTCACTGCGAGAGATTGTAACACATCACGATGCCGAGATTCGTTAGAAGACAAGGGGATCTTTGTTTTTATGTTCGTTTTTGTTGTATTTTATAATTTTCTATGTCTCAAAAAGAAAACCACCATCCAAACCATGAACTAAACATCCTGCTTCATTGTTGGGTTCTGTCCCTCGCTGACCATTTATTCATTCTTCATCCTTCACATCCACCGCAAGCAACATCATTCTCATCTTTCTCGCTCTCCTCTCATGAATCGTACTTTACTGCTGCGCGCCAGGACCAAAGCGAACCTCGCACTGGGGCAACGCGAGTTGCGGGACAGGGGCCTTCTTGGTGCGAGCCTTCTTCCTGGGCGCCGCACTGGCATCCTCACTCGCCTTGCGCTTGTTATTACCGGTCTTGGTGGTATTAGTTGCAGCTGTGGCTGTGACTTTGGAAGTAGGTAGAGTATTGGTTGTTGTCTGGTTCAAAACAGCAGGGTTCAGGAATACTCCCTCGGAAGCTGCATTAGTGGTGTTGTCTCGGCCCTGGGACTGCTAGTCGGGGTTGAAGACATCACCAAACAGGGTGTTGTAAGGGTCTTGGGGGAGAAATTCAGGGCCCTGGGGAAGCTGGAAAGGGGCATCTTGAGCCTCTTGAGATTCCACAACGGGAGAGGACGGCATGTCTGCAAGTCTCATATCGGGTGCGGCATCAGGCCAGTCTGAGGGAGGCCCAGTATCGTTAGAGTGGTTGAAGTCTGAACAGCCAGTAACAGGTAACATGGTGTTGTCGTTGAAAGTAGTAGCGCTGGGGTCCTGAAGATTGTGTTCAGGTATGTTTACAAGACCGGCGAAGATATCCGGAGGGTTATCATCCCCACCGGCCGGAATTACAGCTGGGGACATGTCTTCGCTCACTCCAGCAGTCTGCCTGTTCACGGCATCGACGTCGATAGAAGAGTCTATTCCGGCAATCAGCAGAAGACTAGTACGATCAGAGTAGTTCAACTCACCACCAGTCTGGAGCCGCTCAATGACGGTAGCGCGCCCAGCGTTCAAATCTCGGTTATATGGGCTGGAGATCTCAGCAACATGGACTGTAATATCAGCCTGTTCGGGAGGAGGTCGGTCAAGCTCGTTGGATACTTTGCGCAGCTGGGTTCCTTGTTCATCGTCTTGGGGAAACACGGAGATCTCGTCAAATGGCTCTGACAAAGTGTCCTTGTGTCCGAGGGACACATCAGGTTGACAAGTCTTGTAAATGTCCGGATGGAGAACAGACGTAGGAGGGCCGACAGTATGGAGCGTAGAATCATCCCCAGAATAAGTAGCGAGAAATGTGGAAAGAGGAGAAAGACAGTGATCAAGGGTCATAACAGCGCCAGGATCAGAGACTAGAGTCGATTGAGGGTGGGGAGAGCCAGATGGCGTGGGAGAGAATTGAGCAAACGGCTCAGTACCGCGAGTCAAGTCCTCGTCGAGGGTATTTCTGTTGTCAACAAACATGGGATTGAGGTCAGCAGGAATCTCAAAGCTGTGATCGTTGGTGTTGGTGTTGGTAAAGCTCTCAGCAGGCTGGAGGGCGCTATCCTCCGATGGGTTGAAAGGTTGGGAAGTGTAGTCGTTGCCAGGGAGGTTGGCCGTGAGTTGTTCGTAGGCATTTTGAGAAGTGAAGCTGTTTCCTTGAAGTAACTGAAGTGTCAAGTCGCCGCCGGTGGTAGGTGGTTGAGTGTTGTCTGTAGTGAATGACTGGGCGAAGTCACTGTCAAGGATACCTTGGGGAAGGAATAGGGTCATCAAAGCTTGCTGATTGGAGACATCGCCGCCAGCAAATTGTGTAGGTAGGGCAGTGTTACTACTCTGGATAATTGAGGGGTCGCTGGAAGCTTGAGGGATAGGACCGTTGTTGAGAGAGGGCTGGACGCCGAGAGTAGTGGTAAGTTGAGCATTGCCAGCGACTTTGGGAGTAGAAGTTGTTGCAGCAGCAGCACCAGCAGTAGTAGTAGTCTTGCGTCGCTTCTTGTTGACAATGTTCTCGGATGGAGTTTTGAGAACCTTAGTCTTGGATTTCCTGTTCCTCTTTGCAGACTTTGACTTTTGGATCGGCTCACCAGTCCTGGCAGCTTCATCCATGGCAGTCTTTTTTTCCGCCCGAATCTCTGCGAGCATTCTATTGATCTCTGCAACGTTTATGTCCTTGGGTCCGGGGAGGTAGTAGACTATCAAACATTGTCAGTATTGGTGATTCGCGCACAAAATAATAGCGAGAGCAGGAAGATCGAAGCGAGGATGAAAACTTACTGTTGTAGCTATCACCTTGGGGTGTGATAAGCAAGCCGTCTTTATCGCGAACCAGTCGGGGGTCTTCAGGGTCGATGCGGACGACGCGGCGTTTGCTGGGAAAGACTTGCTGGCCCTTGTCCTCGGCCTCGCGAAGCTTCTTTTCCTTTTGATTTATCTTCTCGGGTCCATCAGAGCGCCGAGGAGCAAAGATACCCGGAGCATAGACACGTTCCTTGGACCAATCCTCGAAAGATGAAAAGCCATTTGAAGACGCCGGGGTAGACGGCTCCTCTGCTGAAGAGTCCTGGGTAGGAGAAGTTTGAGAAGTTGATGGCTGATCACAGACCAGTTCTGGGATGACGACCTCGGAAGTATCATCACCAAGGAAGTCTTGGAGTTTTTGTTGAGGATAGGGGGGGACATGAGATCTGGCATCCTGGAGTAGAAGATGTGTACGAGGGTTTGTTGCAGGGCCAGTGTTCATCACACTTGAGATTTGAGTCAATGAGCTGTCCCTCTGGTTCACACGAGAACCTTGCATAGTCATGGAGTCTGGGTTGGCACTCAGGACCGGAATAGTCTGCATGGGGTTGCCACCCTGAGAGCCAGAGGACTCGGTAATTGTAGGGGCAGCGGTAGAAGACTGGACCGCAACAGGCTCATTTGTAGAGGTCTGTGCAATAGGAGACTGGACAGCGAGGAACTGTGCAGTAGGATTTTGGGCGGCAGGTGTTCCAAGAGTAGAAGCACGAGGGCTAGGAACCTGAGTGGTTGGGGGTTGCTGCATCTGAAGAGCTGGTCCGTGTTGGGAGTTGGACTGGGCAGAGGGCCCAGACTGTCGCATCATCATGCGGTTGATGATGGCTTGTTGCTCATTGATGCGCATCTCCATCTGCTGCATGTGCGCATGCATCTGAAGAGTCATGTTGGATTGCGCGTTGGCTACAGAGACGGCTCTCTGCTGAGGCACAGGGTTGGTCTGAGCGGGAGTGAAGGAGGGCGCTGTAGCCCGAAGACCAGACATGCTCTGAACGAAACCCTGGACCGGAGAATCGCTCATGGCAGAAGCTTGGGTGTTACTCATGAAGGGAGTCTGAGCATTTCCCATGGGAGGAGTAGGAAAGAAAGCAGGCTGCATGTTGAGGTCGCTCATGAAAGGCATCTGAGAATTGCCCATGGGGAATGGGTTCTGCATGTCGCCCAAGAACTGGTTCTGGCTGCCTGACAAGAAGGGTGTCTGAGACTGAGTGAAGCTCTCAGAGTTGGGGTTGCCCGAGGCCATGTTGGGAGTAGCAGAGGAGTTCTGGGCCCAGTAAGGGTTAAAGTGATGAGGTCCAACCACCATGGGACTGCCAGAGTTGGCGTTGTTGTTGGTATCATCAGAAGGAGAAGTGAAACCGTCCATCATCTGGCCGAGGCCATTCTGACTCTGCTGCAGAAGCAATGTTAAAAAATGAAAATCAAGGGGGAGTTGAATGGGCGCAAGCTTTACCATGAACTGAGTGAACTGCTGCTGCTGCTGAAGGTTGTTGAACTGGAATGCATTTCCGTTCTGTTCCATGAAAGGCTGGTTCTGCTGTTGCAAAGTGTGTCAGTTGCTTTTCTTCCCATTTCGAGTGCGCGTGTCTATCATATGCGGAGAGATGATAACCTACCTGGCGAGCAGCTCCTTGCTGGGCATTGCCCTGTGCCATATTGGCCATGTTGGGTTGACGAGAAGACATTATAAAAAACGCGACTTCAAGAGGGAGAAGTGTATCTCGAGAATGCTGCTAGTTGTAAAGATGCTTTGAGCAATCTTGGAGCAGAGTCGATAATTGTGAAGTGGCTGAGAGCTGAAGCTGAGATGAAAGAATCAAGACTGCTGAGCAGAAAAGACTTGAGAATTGTGTAAAACGACGAGGATATCTCGATGAATCAAGTGGTATGGAAAAAGTAGAGAAGATGGAGTTGCCGCAAAGAGAGCTGGCTGAATCTCCACGACGCTCAAAGTCTCTCAAGTCTGTGTATTCTCACGATAAGAAACCAGATTCGATAGACGAAAGCGAAGAATGAAGAGCGTAGAGCGTAGAAATGAAGCTGATATCAGATTGTTGGACGATGCTGTGAAGCTGAAGCTGTGTGCACGAAATCCGATGATGGTGAGGAGAGAAAGAAGAAGAGGAGAGCAAGTTGGAGGTGAAAACTTTTCTGTATATTCGAGTCCGAGCCTCGGCGCTACTAAAGTGCTTGCATGTTTGAATAAGAGTGGTGGAGTTGGCAGTGCAAATGGCCGTCAAGGTCTGTCAAGGACCAACATGATGGCGGTTGGCCAGCCCGGCAGCTGTCAACACTTGTAGACCTTTCCCGGTTCTCTCTAAGCCCCTGAGATAGTTGCATGCCGGAGGCCGCACTCATTTTGATGCTGAGACGTTGTGCTGCTGCTGTTGACTGAGTATCGTGAGGTTGACGGTTTAGTGTAGCTGAGTTTTGGGCATACGGGGTTTTATACTACGAGGTGTCACTCCGTGTCAAAACACAATGGCCAAATCTACTCCTTTCACCTCATAATCAGATGTCATTCATCTCAGTCTTGTAAATAGATAAAATACTTTGCAGGTATCTCGGCTCAATGGTGTTGAGTTGCTCCTCATTGTACCGGCACTTACACTGTCCTCAGCTATCGGCCCGCCCTTTGATATTGTCGGCTAACGGCAACGCTTTGAGCTATTGTTCCTGTGCTCAATAGAGCTGTTCGAGATGGTCCTAGCTTCTGGGATGTGGGCCCGAGTTGCTGAGGGTTTCGCGTGCCAAATCGTTGCTACCTGTAGTCTCGTATTCTTGTCTGCATATCATTGTATCGAACGGCGATACTGCAAACGCGGCAAAGGCAGTACAAGTCTCTGTATGGTGAGCCCCTAAGCCTAGGCTATCATCTATAACCGACGAAACAACTTCAGGTAATCGTTTATTCGAATCACCACGAGTTTACGGGACTCTGTGTTGCGGTTTGGTGGTACAGTGTCAACGGCTAGCAGACTTGGAGATGTCATTCACTAGAAATCTACATACAGGTGAGCCCCCCCCTGCTTGCTCACGGCCGTCATCGGCGCACATCGAGAAGAGCTTGCATATCCATTGCGTGTTGGATCAATGCATATATAGTGGTTGCAGGACTCCTAGTGGGGTTGAATGACGGGCCCAAAGTCAAGTAATATTATCTATGTGTATCTGTACGGCCAAGACAAATGAAAGACCACGCAACGATTCCCTTGGAATTCACATTTCGATATTTCAGATAAACCAACTGAATTATGACTTGCGTAGGCGTAGGCGCTCGAAGGGTATCGAACTACCAGGAGTTGGTATTTGATAAGCACACGATGGCGCCTCCTTAAGCAACTTCCTGGACCATCTTACCCGATGCCAGTTTAGATGCAGGCTTGAAAACCTGACCGGCCGGGCTGTCAAGCATTTCTTCTGTCACTGCCACTCGAACTCCAGTTTTGTTGCTGACCCACCGAACGAAGACGGGATCAGGCTTGTTCGAGTCTTCTGAACCGCCTGCGCCAGCAGCTGCAGCCTTGCGGTTGATCTTGGGAGCTTGCTTTTTAAGGAGTTTGTTGATCGTTTCCATCTATAATCTGGGGTCAGCACACAGTCACACCTTCTGCTTAATTCAATTTCGAGGTTACCTTTACTTCCTCATTTCGCTTTTCACTCAAATTGCGACGTCGCCGGGCCATCTCCTGTCGACGCATGGACAATTCCTCAGCTGTAAAAACCTTCTTCGCTTGTACCTCTGCCAACATGGATTAGTATTGCAAGTGTAAGTACACGTACTAGACTCACCATCTGACAACTTCATGTACTGATGCGCGTTGTCATCTTCAAATCGGGCTCGTTGCCGCTTTGTCATTTTGGTGAGATCGATAGACTCGCCTGGGTTGCCATCTTCGTCATCATCTTCGTCGTCATCGTCGCCTTCAGCATCTTCTTCTTCCTCCTCATCTTCTTCGTCTTCTTCATCCTCGTCTCCTTCTTGGCCTGCGACCTCGATCTCCTCGCCTTCAGCGTCCTCGTCACCATCGTCAGCCATGGTCTCATCACCAAAACCCATAGTCTCGTCTCCAGCGTCGCTATCAGCGGGGTCACTAAGCTCGTCATCGTCGTCGTCATCATCATCCTGAATGACCTTGGCAGCCGATGCTCGAGGTGCTGGCTTAGACCGGGCTGGTTTGGAAACAGTGATGGTTGGGGGAGCTAGATCCATATCGATATCTCCCTCGGCGTCCTCCTCACCCTCAGCATCAACATCCATCTCATCGTCATCATCTTCCTCCACCTCAATCTCTGCCTCCTCTTCCTCTTCTTCATCTTCGTCGGGGCTTGAGTCAACCACATAACTTTTCTTAGCTCCTCGATTCCGCTTTCCGGATACGATTTCTCCACCTTCAAAGCCACGCTCCCCACGTGTAGCCTGTCGTAGTTTGTTGGAAGGAAGTTTGACAGTCAAACTCAAATGACGATCGCCACCTGGTGATGAGGCATCATCTCGGGAGACGGACACGCCTGAGGCGCGACCAGACCGTCGTGACGACATGCTTCTTTCACTTCTTTCGCTTCTTTCTGGAGAGTCAGCCCATCTGGCATGAACAGAAATGACTTCATTGGCCTTAGTGGCCGCTGAGCGACGCGGACGCGAACTCATGATGATAGATGCCCGAACTGGCGGGGCCTGGGGTGAATGGTAGAAACAAGATAAGGAAAGTGGGAAATAATTAGTGGTATGCGAAGTGAAGGGTCGGTTGTATTTGTATCAGGATAGAGTTCAAGGAGTCCTGGGGTCCCAGGGAAGATCGCGAAAACTTAAATATGTGAAGTCAAATGAGTTGGATGACAGAAAAGGAAAGTGATTGGGAGACAAGTTTGCAGGTATTTGGTGTTGACAAGGCTGAAATAAGCTCAATTCGTTGGGGCAAGCACGATGGGAGTGAGACAGCAGGAGCAGGAGCAGGAGCCAAGAGCCACCTAATATGGGATTGGCTGGAAGGAACAGACAGGGCCAAGGGAGGGCAGAGCAAGCACAGCTCGGATGTTGGTGGCGATTGCCGTTGGCGAGATAGGATAGGACAGGATAGGACAGGATAGGATAGGTAGGTAGGCTGGAGAGGTAGGTAGTGTAGGTAGGCAGTGTCGGTGACCCTTGATTGGTGTAAAGACGACTTGAGCTCGAAGCTTGCAGAATGCGAGGCTGAAGATAAACAGCCAACTAATGCAATTTATCCTACAACCAGTCAAGCCAATCAATCAACCAATCGATCAGCCAAGGGCTGACTACCTAAGGTAGGTAACTACGTGAGACCTCTCGTCTGTGAATACCGCTGAATCAGGGATTCCTATAAGCGGGATCCTGCACGTGGCTGAGGATCATCGGCAGGCCAGTCCAGTCTAGGAATATCCTAATCCTATGGTAGCCCAGACAAACTGCCGATATCAAAGGCCAGGGGAGAAACTTATCCTCGTCGGTTGCATTGTGAGAATTGGGTGACAGCCACGGAAAGGATTACAGAGACGGACGGAATTGGTGGGTGTTGTTTTGCTGCGACCAAACAAAGGGAGAGACAACCAAGAAGAAAGGAAATTTCACTACTCACCTAGTACAGATTTTGAATGCTTTGGTCTTGCAAGGTCACACCACACCAGCTTGTCGCCTATTGACTTTCACTTGCCTGCTCTTTAAACGGCCAGCAGCTGGAAATTGGGTTTTAGCCGCTTCCAATCGCTTCACCCCGAACAGGGTCTGACTGAGCCAAGAGCTGGAGACTCAAGCGCAATCGACTATTTTCAAGGGCACAAGCACGCCAGTTGCTTAACTTGTTGGGACCGGCAGGCGACGCAGCACGAGGCTCGTGAGACGAGGGCCGTTACACGTTGTTGCTGTGTCCTGCTTCTGGTGGTAGAATTGGCTGTCGCGATGAGATTGGCTGATAGGAGATGATGGCGCTGAATCTTTTTGGCGCAAGAGCTTGATGGCAGGATTCCGGTGTCTGGAGAAAAACGCGAAAAGGTAGTGCGGATGGGATTTGTAATTACTGAGAAGCCTGGGCGTTCACCGAGGTCCTTGATGGTATAGGCGATCGTTCACTTGAGATATTGTCTGGAATTGATGCTCTCAGGTGAATGCGCGTTCTGGTCGTGCTACCGTTTAGCACGATCCCGTTTTATTTCCAGTAACGGCTCCAGTATTAAACGGAGTGGCTACCGTTGCGTACTCTGCCAGTCCAGCTTGCTCAACGGCTTCAATTTTAACATAGGTTTGTTTTCTTGGCCTCTTTATTAAAGCAAGGCATTGCGAGTAACGTTCGCAAGCAAATGTATGTTTTCTTATTGAGTAACATGGCTTGATGACAATACTCCAATATCATACCTAAGGTACTCACATCAGGTACCTAGTCTAAGTACTACACAATCAGATGCTGTTTACTCCCCACATGAAACCCCAGACTCATGAAGTAGCCTAATAAGGTGTGTACCACCAAAAGCTACTTACCTAGGTACCTACCTAACCTTAGGTACAGAGTAGACTCCACCGTTATCGGCAGGAGTACCGAGGCATGTGCCTACCTCGCCGAACCTGCTGGCCAACGCCTCGGAAACCACAAACATTTCCCTTCCATCATCTAGTACCTTGATTCAACATTTCCGTTAATCTTATAGTCTTGTAGCCAGTCGCGCGACACTATCAAACATGAGCGACTCAGATTCCAATCCCGCCATCCCAGACTGGCAGAAGGCGCAATCCGAAGAGATCGATAGTCAAAACACCGAACCGGCCCCGACACCATCCGCGAGCAGTTCAACATCAGAAGTTGATACGTCAGCGGCAGAAGTAACAGCAGAAGAGACATCACAGCCGGAAACTGCCACAGACGATCAAGAAAGACTCGAGGTTGCGAGACGTTTTCTCGAGAATGACGCTGTGCGACACGCGCCTCATGAGAAGAAGGTCGAGTTCTTGAAGTCCAAAGGCATTGACGAAGCCGAAATACACGCGCTTCTTGGTCAAGACGAATCCATAACAGAGGCAGAGGTTTCTACTACTTCTTATCTTGCGCCCACATACTATGCTGACAATTTCAAGGCGCCAAACCAAGAAACAACCGATTCTTATGCTCCAACGCCCACCGAAACTCTCCCTCCAACACCAGCTTCTCACCCGCCCATCGATCGACCCCCAGTCGTCACATACCCTGAATTCCTTGCGAAGGCACCCCGTCCTCCTCCTCTCGTCACAAAGGAGCGTCTTTTCAACGCCCTTTACGCTGTCACAGGCCTTTCCAGCCTCATCTATGGCACGAGTCGCTACGTTATTCGGCCTATGGTTGACAGTCAGGCCGAAGCCCGTACAGATTTCCACGATCTGACCTCGCGGAAACTCGATGCCCTCGTCGCAAAGCTTGAAAAGACGGTCTCCGAGGTTCCCCCCAAAAAACCCATCACCACAGTCGAGGAGGAGAGCGATGCTGAAGACCCTACGGAGATGTTCCACAGGGACATGGGCACTCAAACCACATTCCCCATAAGCTCTGTGACAGCTATGACAGACTCCAAGAATAACGAGTCAGCTGCCAAGCATAACACCAATCAACTGGGTAGTCTGAATAAGACTCTTTCTGGCCTGAAGGATGAATACCGTTCCCAGAGCGAAGGCATGGATAAGATCAAAACTGCTGTTGATATGCTACGGGATGACCTCGACACAATGACATATACTGCGTACCCCGATCACAGTACTGGCTATGACCTGTACGGCCGGTCACGCAAGCCTGAACCAGATGACGAAATCCGCAAGGTGCGGGATAACATTCGGCGTGTGAAGGGAGTCTTGCTGAGCACGAGAAACTTCCCTGCCTTAGCAAGATGAAGTATTTCTGAAACCAGGCTAAAAGAATGGCAATTCATATCATCTATGTCGCTCTCGGAAAAGCTTTGATAATGTACATTTAGTCTAGACAGTACGCCATCGTCATCCACAATCATGCCAATATACCCCATACACATCCATCCGTCATGGTACCACGTAGAAATGAACTCCTTCATGCGGTATCCCCTATTTTCTTGCCTCCTTACCTCTCTTCTCTGAGCCCACATCGGGTTGCTCAGGGACTTCGATGTGGTGTTTCAAGAAGAAGGCTGGCCACGGCATAACCCTAATATGCTCGAAGCCACGGCCTTCTTGTACCTGCTCATCGTACCAGTCCAGAGTTGGTCTGAAGACAAAATTCATCGTTCTTCCGCGGTGTCCCTCGCTCCTTTTATTTGCGCAATGCATAAAGAGGCGGTTTTTGCACTTGGTCAGCCGGTCCATATTCTTCCCACGAGGAGCATGGAAGACAATCTTCAGGTCCTCATCTGCCGCATCATCTGTCCCCGCAGGTTCATCGACGTCCATTGCCTGTGGAGAGGGTGACCGTGATATGATGGGCGCAGCTCCTGGCCTGAGTTCCCTCCATCCCTGAGACCTCATTCCTGGCAGTCCGGCTGGGATATATGCCTTCAGATTCTTCATAAGATGCTGAAGCTGGTGGATAGTGATATCGACAGGGTCAGTCAGCCCCTGTGGAATCACATCTGGTCCCCTAATCCATACTTTCACTAGCGGCAATCTGTTGTGAGACCCTTCAGCAAGCCGTATCATTTCCCGTTGTGCTTCAATGAGTTGCCCATCGTAAATGTATGGGTCATTGTCCGGCATTTTGATGACAGGATCCCATATTATCAACTCCATTTCACGCCAAGGCTTCCTGAATAGCTCAACAGGTCTGTATACAGCAATCCATGGCCGTCGATTCTTGTTGGTGGTTTCTCGATCGTCGCCGTACTTCCAGGATCCCTCAATCGTGTAGCAGAAGGCCACGCCAGTATTGATGAAGGTATAGTCATGAATTCTTCCGTTAAAATAGCGAAGACATCTATCGTATGTTTCGAACTCAGGGAATTCATGTGCCATATCCATATTCCAGTAAGAGGTTGGGCGATTAAAAACTGTCTGAGGGCCCCACTTCCTGTCCCGAATATCGCTTTCCAGTTGTTTTAGGAAGTCCTGGAACGATGCTCCGTCATCACGGGGGATTTTTTGTAGTCTTCTCTGAGGTGCTCTCTCCGCAGCTGGCTGATTCTGCGCAATAAGGGAGGAGGCGGCAGGGTTTACTTTTCCCCAAACATCGTCTGGGTTACCAAAAGTTGAGGGAGAATATTGAGGGATCCGGATCTGGTGAGTGAGTCTCTGGATGCCAGTATTAGGGCTTGATCCAAGCACGGTGAAGTGCCGATACTGATCTAAATTCAGAATAGACCACCACCCAAACCAATTGACAAGGCTCTGCTCATCATTGCCATCAATCGAATCAGGGGCGAACACCACAACCGATTGGTCATCGTCTGAAGGTGCTGCTAGCTCTCTGACAAGTTGCGAGCACTTAAAAAGAGCATCGATTTCTTTCTCGGCTGTCGCTTTGTCCTCTTCGCGTACTCGCGTACTTTCTACATGAGTCTCCCAGTCTTCCTTGACCACAACAGCTACCTCGTGAACCCAGTTCTCAAAGTCGGCACATACGGTGAGCGTAAAAGCGCCGCGATGTTGCTGCCAATATTTGTAAGCCCACTTGAAGAAAGCCCAGGCCTGCTGAGGCTGTGAGATAACAAAGC